ATTTCCAAACAAAGTCGCGAGTCAGGCAGACGATGGGAACAAGGATGAGGACAAAATAAAACACAGCGTCAGTCCATAGACGAGGCACAAGTCCGTAATATTCGGTAGAGAATCCAATGGCAGGAGCAACAACGGCATATAAAGGAAGGAAAAGCATAGTGAAAACGAAAGACCCAGGAATCGCTGAGGAAAAGGTGTCAGTTGGATATTTTTTCATAGAGGAAGACTTGCGCTCACCAGCAACAGTGTACTTTGTCCACAAACTAGAATACACATTAGTATAGAGGGCGAGACAAGAATAGGGACACTTACTCGGAAACCAAAGCAGCCTTGCCAAGGACAGTGAGCAGGACAGCCAGGTAAAGCATGGCGCCCCAGAACCAATGCCCGGAGTCCAAACCCGTCGCTTGCTTCAAATCTCCCCAGAACAAAATCACAGTGAACGTGAACAAAATCTGGAAACGCCATTATTATTATCACCACCACTGTATTTTTCGTTGCTTGGAATAAGACTCACGAGACTGTGATACAGCGCATTGCCTACCCAAAGCCAGAATGCTGTCTTCGTGAAGAAGACGTTCTTCTGCCCGAGTACATATAGTTGCGGGTATCGGTCTAGTATCCGTGCAGATACGAACTGATCAAACACGCCGATGACGAGAGGGGGGAGGACGGTAAAGATGACGTTATAAAATGATATCGTCCATGATTCATAGGCAATCTGCCCTGAGAAGTTATTGAAGAAGGAATACTATGAAGTAGTGGTCAGTTGAATATTTGTGAGTGGGCGGGGGGATGTGTACCCAAAACTGTGTCATGTAAAGCGTAATGTTCTTGTAAAATGAGTCTGTGGTCCTTGGCGATAAACATGCGTCAAACAGAGAGAAACAGATATACGTACAAAGGATGAGCTTTGACAGTCTCTGATAACTCCACGCGCCATGAACCAGTAATAACTTCTTGAGAAATCTAAACTGTGAAATTGCCACATCTGCAGACCGCGCGGCTTGTAGACCCTATACAGATCGCTTTCAACACAAACGCAATGTCGCGTGCGGAAGATCACGTACCTCCACTCCAGAGATCCCCACGCCCACATGCGCTGCCTGGATCATGCTCACATCGTTCGCACCGTCACCGATTGCCAAGAGAATGCTCTTCTGGTTCTTCTTTACAAGTTTGACGACAAGAGCTTTTTGAAGTGGAGATACTCTGCAACAGATGACTGCGCGACACATGAGCGCGAGCTCCAAAAACGACTTGGAGAGCTCCTTCTCGAGTGCGAAACCTAGGCTTTTGCCGTCTGGAAAGGAAGGGCTTAAGAGGGTGTTGATTGATTTCGCGCCCGTGCTAACCTATGACCAGAGCTAGGTCTTCGAGCTCTCCCGTACTCCGCTGATTCTTGATTGCTGAAAGTCGCTTCTGGATGAAATCTGCAGTGTCACGCGAGTTGTTTTCGTTCACGATGACCTGTAAAGGTAGAGCATTAGCATTGGAATATCTCCACCACGTTCCCAACTTACCAAGTTCATAGACTCTGAGATCAACCGACATGACATGCCGATATTGATCGCTGTCTCTTGTCTGTCACCCGTAAGTACCCAGATCTACGTACCACATCAGCATCGTAGACATAGATGCCGTGATGAAATACTTGTGACAAACGTACCTTGATCCCAGCCATTTGTAACGTATGTATCGTATCTGGTACGCCGTCCTGGAGCTTATCCTCAATAGCTGTCGCCCCGAGCAAAAACATATCCTTCTCAATCAACTCTGCTGCACTATCAAGAGCATCTGCGCGGCCATTGATCGTTGCAGCAGCTTGCTCGTATATGGAGGTCCACTGCCGGTATTCGGCCTCTGGGATGTCGCGGTATGCAATGCAAAGAGTGCGCAAGCCCTCAGTTGCGTAGTCCTGTGGGTTGATTGGGTGAGCGCGATGGGCGTTGGTGGTACCGGGAAGCAAAAGGAACGAACCTCGAGATGAATAAGCGTCTTCTCAGTGTACGGTTGAACCTTGGCGAGACGCTCGAGGATGACGGTGTCCGCACCCTTGCAGAAAAGCTTGATCGAACCGCTGGACGTACGCACGATCGTCGACATACGTTTGCGTGTCGAGTTGAACTCGCACACGTTGAGGATCTCGTACTCGGCAGGAGTGTTGTTGATTGAAAGAAAGACAGAACGGGGTTTCCGAGTCTACAGAAGGGTGAGTAAGCAGTGTGATTAAGAGGAGGCGGGGGTGTAGAGAAGGGGTTAGGAAGAATGTGTGAAACAGCATTTAACAAGGAATGAGCGACCCACATGGAACTGATATCCCAGCATCTCCGCCCCTGCCACTAGCGCCGCCTCATCCGGACTGCTGGCCTGATAATGCGTCTTCCCATCTCTCACCTCTGGTATCACCGTATGGCACACCGCCAACAACGCCATGAACTCTCTAGCCATCTCCCGCTCTCTGTCCTCAATCGCTCCTGTACTGACTGGCTTCCCTGCGTCCCCATACAACAACCCCCGCAGCTCCTCAAACGTTCTCGTACCCTCCTCACCACCCTCCTCTGCCACGACCGCGTACGGAATCCCTGCAATTGAGCACTTCTTAAACTCCATCTCGTTCCTCGTCAGAGTTCCCGTTTTATCGCTAAATACGAATTCGATCTGTCCGAGTTCCTCAACGAGGGAGCTTGTGCGGCAGAGTGCAGGCGTGTCGGACGGCGCGTAGTACATGTCCAGATCAGCGTTGATAAGCTGGGCTTGCTGGAATTTGACGACCTCCATGGTGACGATGAGTGAAATGGGGATGAGGTTGTTGTAGAGGATAATAAAGGTGAGAATGTCTGAAGAGTTTGAGTGAGTAAGGGAAGATAAGTAGAAGAAATAAATATGCCTGACCTTCGATGAATGCTTTTGCTGATCAAACATGATCAGTCGGCGGTCAGAATAAGCTTTTCAGTCAGGAGGTACTCACCTTTCCCGGTGAATGTGCTTGGCTCCACTAAATACCATTGTTGGCCGGACAAGAACCACTGTAAAGTCCTGTCAGCCCTAATCTCTGATGAAGTAAGTAGATCGAACACACTGTATTGATGCTGGCGCCGATCGTACTCCCGAGCGAGAGAGCAAGGAGGAAGACGAAGAGGAAGACGATGTGAATATTTACTTGGCGTTCGACTGCCGTACGTTTGATGGGCGCTGCGCTGTACCTGAGGTTAGCATCGCAGGAAATTGCAAGGATTCTGCAGACCAAAGTGCCTCGAACAAGGTCAAGCTACTCACGTTGCATTTCGCATAAGCTTCGTCTCATGACCCGTGAACACTACGATCCCATATACCCACGGTGTATTCCTCAACTGCGCGCCCCTCAACAACATCTGATCTGGGCCCAACGACACGGTCTTCGGTATATTCATATCGCTCAACAATTCCAACGTTCCCTCATATGTGTACAATGAGTTATTTGACTGTTCTGAGCGCAACGTACCGTGCAAAGCGCTTACGAGGGATGGGGATGTGAGCGAGTAAGTTTGTGGGGAAGCTTGTTTGATTTTGAGGTTGGTCTCGCTGGAGAGTGTCTGTCAGAGAAAGAAGGAAATTCAAAAGAGGAACGCACCCATCGAGATTGGAAGTCTCTATGTAACATAGTCCCTCGGGCTCACTCGAGGATATGAGTACCAGGTCGGCCGGTATAAACTCATCAGACTCTACGCGCACGATGTCGCCTACACACAGGTCTTTCCATTTCCGTGCGGCGAAAGTGTTTCCCGAGAGCGCCTTGCCAAGTCGTGCGTTTAGCTCGGAGTCAGATTGGTGTCGTTTCTGAGGTGAGGTAAGAATGGGTTAGCGATCGGAGAAATAACGTACAAGGTCTTCTTGGACTTCTTTGAATGCGGAAGCGAGGAGGACCATGGCCAAGGGTACGATGGTAGTATACTGGTTCGTGGGGGATACGCCGGGAATCTGCTGAATGCACGCCGTGAACAAAAAGAATAGATTAGCATATTTCGAGAATTGCTCTACGAGAATGATGCATCAGTTGGTGTTTCGTAGTGTACGCGATACCAGGTGGGACAAACCGGTAAGAAACTTGGGAAGAAACGAAGCCATGTTGTACTTGCTTGTGGACACAAAGTTTGAGCAGTACTCGTCATTCATGCGTGGGTTGTTGAGAGTGATTACACGCTCGCCAGCGAGTTCCTTGTCCCTCTGCCAGGGCCATTTCCACTTTCTACGTCGTTTGAGCGGGGGCATAGGTGTTGAGAATGGTTCTGTTGGGAAGGAAGGGGCAGGTAAAAATGCGGGTGATAGAGAGTCATCGTCAAATGCCCAGCCTTGTGGTTGTCCGTTAGGTGTTGTTGCAAGAGAGGTAGAAGATGCTCCTATGCCAGCTGGGGGTGCAGCTGAGCGAGCGAGAGGAAGACCGCTCTCCTGGGACTGCATTGGTCTTTGAGCAGAGTACATAGCAAAATTAGAATGAGAAGCATCGTCGTCGTCGTCGTCAAAGAAGGGATCCATGAGATTTGGTTGTGGAGGATAAGCAGACGGTGTAGTATTAGTATTATAATCTGAATGGATGTATGGGCTGTTGTTTTCTCGCTGACCAGATCCGGAAGCTGCTGGATTGGCGGTATTGACCAATGCTGCAAACGATTCGTCACTGTTCATGGTAGAACGGAGCGGATGTAAGTAGTGGCAACCGCAGTTTGCACGCCGACGTGTCTTATACAAACCTTCCAAAATAGAACTGAACTAAACATCGTTCCAAGGCGATATAGTGTAGTGGTTATCACTCGGGATTTTGATATTCAAATATTCCCGAAACCCAGGTTCGAACCCTGGTATCGCCTCTTCTTTTGCCAATGACTCACTTACAAAATTGGATGTATGTGTGAGGACACATCGGGGTTATTTGGCACTCTATTATGTAACGAGGCACGAGCGGAAAAATAGAGTAAGGTCTTCGACCGAACAGCAGACGTGGCACCAATCCTCTTGTCTTCGTGCCCTGATCATTGTTCATTGTTGCGCAGATATCTGTGCTTGCTTTTATTTTCTTCAAAGGCATATAAGACACCAGAATATCACTATAAACTTTCCTCTTTTATAACAACTTGTGGCAATGCCCTTAGTAGTAGATCCCTCACTTGAAGTTGTCCCAGACTTCACCAGTAACCTATATGCTGGTATCTGTGTAGACCTCACAGGAGCAACAAACCAAACTGAAGAGCAAGTGATAGAACATCTAACACAGACTTGGAATGCAGATCATGATGCAAGAGTGGCAGATTGGAACCAGAATCAAGAGCCAGAAGCTCAAGCCCTAGCAGCAGCTGAAAGGGTGCATGCAGCACAGCAAGATGCAGAACATATTCAGTGTGAAACTGAAGCAGAAAAGGAACAAGTGGAAGCAGAGAAGAAAAAACTGAAGATGAATGGATTTGACAAGACATCAACCATAGGAGACTTCCTAGCTCCTTGTCCTGCCCAATACACAATTCAGAAACTTACCAATTTTGAATATGTAGAACTTTGGTACTTCTCACTGGACAGATGTAAAGATACCCTCAAGATGTTGCACTCTACAGCTGATAACAACTTGAGCCTTACCAGAATGGACAACCAACTCATGCTATGTCCAATGTCTGCATTCAAAGCCTCAAAATCAGTGCTAGCTGACCATGAATTGATGTTTTTGACATTCCTTTGAGCAAAGAACATGTTCCTTGTCCAGATCAGCAAGGCCAAATGGCCTCAACCACATATCAATGCTCTATCTCTGTTTTTCTGGCACCTAGAGAATTACTTGATCCAAAACAACAGTGACATTGGCAACACAGTCATCCTGACATACACATCCTGTGTTTGTCATGATTGGCATGATCACCTCAAGCATGACAAAGGTTTTGACATTGGCAAGATCAACAAGAACCTCCTCCAGGTCATCAATGAAGAAATGTGGGACAAAATTCAATCCCATACACTGAACATTGTACATACTCAACCTCTGACAAGTGGCAAACTTGTGTTAACCTATTCCTATGTTTCCCCTTCATATCCTTGGAACCCTCACACCAATGGCCTCTCACTACATGTCCAACATGAATCTACCTGATGAATCTCCTATGGATGCCTGTAATACTTCACACAGATGTCCACAATGACACTCCCATGGATGCCTGCAATGACATTCCCATGGATGCACATCAAACGTGGACACTGATCACCAAGCCCTCCTCACAGCCCACAAGCAGAGAGGCATCCTTGAACCAATATTGGAGGTCCAGTTACCGTGACTCCTGTGGAGGCCCCAGCAACAATCAAAACCACAACTCACATTCTTGTTCTCCCCCACAGAGCTTGGAGAAAAGCAAGGTATCAACCTCACTAGATTGTCCTTGTGATCATCAACAATGGTGTGGGGTTTTTTTCCATGGTGCAGGTTCATGAGGCCAGTCTGCCTGCACCCTTTGTCTCGGATGCTTTATCCATGATATTCAGCATTGTGAATCCCATACCATATGGGATGGCACTAATACCCACTGTTGATGGGCACATTGTCAACCCTCAAGGCCTTCCCATATGTTACAAATGGCAATGCCCAGGGGGTTGCAAAGCCCCGAACCATGAATCCTTCCATGAGTGTTCTGGATGTGAGAGCAAAGAATATGGAGCCCAAACACCATACAGTCCAGAGGGTTGGTATTTATTGCTCACAGAATCAGACCTCATCTGTAGATACCTGTCATATCCCACAATCTGGACTCACATTCCATAATATTCCCATGCTTTCCAAGTCTATGTCTGGACCCCATATCCAACTCATTCCCAGATCCCCTTCTGCTGTGTGCTCCACACCTCAGCAGGATTGACTCTGCTCAGGATTTACTCCTGAGCTCTGGACCTCTGGATTCTCACTGCTAGCCTGATCTGTACCACCCTATCCTGTCCACCCTATGCACACTCCATCTGGCAAGACATCTGAACTTCACCTTGTCTCATATTCAGGACTATACCCACCTCGTCATATCCTGGTCCTGTATCCACCTCATCTTCCAGATCCCCAGATCTCCAGACCTCCAGATATTAACTCTGGACCTATTCCCACCTTCTGTCTGATATCCTGCACCTATCCCCATGTAGACATCTCTGCCTTTCTAGCTTTTGGTTATCTCTTGTTCCATCCTGCTTATTGATCCTTGTATGAGTCTTCATCTCTGAGTTCATTTACTTATGTTTCATCTTACTTACTAATGTGCTTCCACATGCTTGTACATAGCCCTGCTCCTTTGCTTACTGATCCCCTCAGATATTCTCCAGTATATAACCCCTGTAGATACTCCTGTAGTTTCCTCAGTTTGAATATCAACTTAGATTTGCTCTCTCAACTTAGACTTGCCCAATCCTCTCTTGGACTTTGATCCTCCTAAGTCCTATCCTATCCATCAGGCCTAGGGATTGATTCCCTAGGCTGGAGCTTTGCCTTTCCGGCAGTTACCCTCTTTCTGGACTTAGGTCCAGTTCCTGACTCTCCGACTCTACCTTAGGGTAGTCAACCTCTGTTTGTTTCTACATGGGACTTTGTCCAATGTAGCCCCTATTCCTTATGTACCTCTGGATGTCCTATCCTCCTGTCCTCTGTCCTCCTGTCCTTCCATCCTGTTTCCTGTAAAAGTATTACTTTGCAGTGGGAAATCTCCTGAGCACCTCCCGCATTCCTCCAGAACTCTCCTACACTCCTCTGAACATTTCTAATGCTCCTCCAGAAGTCTCCTAGCACTCCACCAGAGTAGCCAGCCTCTGGAAGTCCTCTGGACTTTGTTGGACCATCATTGGACCTCATTTGAAATAAAGAGCACATACTTGGGTAAGGGGCACAGCATACAAGCTGAGGTCAAGCCCTTTGGAATCAGTCCCTCTCTCCGCTTTTGTTAAGAACCATGCTCAAGGAAGAGAGAGAGACTGACTCAGAGAGGCTTGGCCTCAGCTCATATGCTGTGTCCCTTACCCAAGTATGTGCCCTTCATTTCAGAGGAAGTCCAATGATGGTCTGACAAAGTCTGGAGGACTTCCAGAGGCTGGCTACTCTGGTAGAGTGCTAGAGGACTTCTGGAGGAGTATGGGAAATGTCTGGAGGAGTGTGGGAGAGTTCCAGAGGAATGCAGGAAGTGCTCAGGATAGTTCCCACTGCAAGGTAATACTTTTACAGGAAATGGGATGGAAGGGTAGGAGGTCTGGAGGTCTGGAGGATAGGAGGACAGGATGTCCAGAAGTATGGAGGACAGGAGGACTAAAGGTCCAGAGGACAAGATGTCTGGAGGTACTCAGGACAGGACATGGAGGTATGGAGGGCAGGATGTCTGAGGGTTAGGAGGACGGGATGTTCAAAGGTACAGAGGGTGGAATGTCTGAAGGACAGGATGCCCAGAGGTACAAGGGACAGGATGTCCAGAGGTACAGAAGACAGGAGGTCTGGAAGGAATAGGGGCTACATTGGACAAAGTCCAATGTAGAAGCAAACAGAGGTAGACTACCCTTAGGTAGAGTTGGAGAGACAGGAAGTGGACCAAAGTCCGGAGAGAGGGTAAGTGCCAGAAAGGCAAGACTCCAGCCTAGGGAAGCAATCCCTAGACTTGGGGCAGAGACATAGGGGACAAATTCAAAGGTCTGGAATTCCGGCCTAGGAAATCCATCCCTAGGTCTTATGGAAAAGGACAAACTCAGATGGACTGAGGTCCAGAAGAAGATTGGACAAGTAGAACAGGATCTAAGATGATATTCAGACTGAGGACTCTACAGGAGTTGTACAGGGGTTATATACTAGAGGATATCTGAGAGGATCAGTAAGCAACAGAGTAAGGCTATGTACAAGCATGTGGAAACACATTGGTAAGTAAGACAGAACATAACTAAATGAACTTGGAGATGAAACTAGTACAAGGATCAATCAGCAAGATGGAAACAGAGATAACTAAGAACCAGAAAGGCAGAGATGCCTAAATGGGGATAGGTGCAGGATCTTGGACAGAGGGTGGGAATAGGTCCAGAGATCTGGAGATCTGGAAGGTAAGGCGGAAACAGGACTGATGTCATATCTGCATATCCAGATCTCAGATCCAATCCTTATCTCATCTCAGATCCAATCCACATCTTATCTCCCTCCAACATCTTATTATCCAATCTGTCCACTCATCCAGTCTGGTCCACAATTCATCTGAATCCACAACCAGCGCTCATCTCTTTTTGGTAATCCCCTAACTCCAGTATTTTGGTTATCTGTATATCTGTCCTGCTCCCTGATCTGTTACCTATGCTTCATTTCTATTTCATTATTTGTGATCCATTTCTACTTACCAATAGACCATCCATATGCTTCATACATAGCCTTGGACTCTGCTGATTGATCATTCCATTAGATACCTATAGTATACAGTGGCTCAAAAAACTGTCCACATGTTTTGACATTTTTCACTATCTATGATATTGTGTGAGAATGAACAAATGGCTCAAGGACATGGTTATACCACATTGTAGTATGGCTTCAGGGCTTTCATTTGAGCCCTACACCGTGGGAATCGGTGGAGATATGGTGGAGATACAAGGCTCACGAAATGGAGACTCATGCAAACAGTTTTTTGACTCAAGTAGTTTACAATAATAACCAGGTATTCTAGTATTTTGTATGACCTCCCTTGGCTTTAATTACTGCCTCTATCCTTCTAGGCATACTCTCAATTAATTTCTGGCAATCCTCAGCTGTGATCTTCCCCCATTCCACTGCTACTCTCTCCCAAAGCTCCCATACTCCTTTAGGGGGGTTTTCATAGGCTTGAAGCTTTTTCTTGAGTGCTCCCCAGAGATGTTCAATGACATTGACATCAGGAGACTGTGCTGGCCAGTCAAGAACATTGATGTTATGTTCTTCAAACCATTCCTTAGCTCTTCTGGATGTGTGCTTGGGATCATTATCCTGTTGGAAAATGATATCTTCTTCATCAATCCCTGATTCTGCCAAGCTAGGCAGCAAGTGGTCATTTAAAATGTCCACATACTGCTCAGCATTCATCTTCCCCTCAACCTCAGCAAGCATTCCCACACCATTCCATCCCATACAGCCCCATACCATTAAAGAACCTCCTCCAAACTTGATAGTCCCATTAACCTCTCTGTCTGTTAGGCCATCTCCCTTTTTTTTTTTTCCATACATATACCTTCCCATCTGACCCAATCCTATTGATTTTGGTCTCATCTGACCATATAACATATAACATGCTTCCAGTCCTCTACAGTCCGGTGTTGATGAGCTAAGGCAAAGGCTAGTCTTCTCTGCCTATGTTTGATGGAGAGAAGAGGCTTTTTCTTCTTTGTTATTGCCTTGAGATGAGCTGCCTTGAGAACATTCCTCACAGTTTGTGAAGAGACAGGGGTAGTGATGGTGGAATTGATATAATGGGTGGCTTGGACAGCATTATCAGCCTTTCCTATAGTGATATGTTGGATAATAGCCCTTTTGTCAGTAGAGGTAAGCTTGGATGGATGTCCTCCACAAGAGTTTTCCTTGTCTGGGTGGCTTTCTTTGATAAACTTGGCCACAGTGGACTTGCATACTCCAGTTCTAGAGGAAATTTGGTGAGCAGAGAGGCCAGCATAAGACAGAGAGAGGATATTATCTCTTTGAGCAGAGGAGATGACTTTCATGGTGATTATAACTATGATACATGAGATATTCTGGTTTATATAGTTAGATATAGTCATAAAATAACATAATGACACCACTTCATAATTTATATAATAGTGGCATGATTTTTGTGGTGTCATAAATAATGATTTATATAGTTTTAATATACACTCAAAAAACTGTCCACATGAGTCATCATTTTATAAGCCTTATGTCTCCACCATATTTCCACCGATTCCCACGGTGTAGGGCTCAAATGAAAGCCCTGAAGCCATACTACAATGTGGTATAACCATGTCCTTGAGCCATTTGTTCGTTCTCACACAATATCATAGATAGTGAAAAATGTCAAAACATGCAGACAGTTTTTTGAGCCACTGTATAACCTCCTGTAACTCTCTGTAGTACCTCAGTTTGAATATGTCATATCCCACAATCCAGACCCATATTCCATCATATTCCCACACCTTCCAAGCCTACATCCGGACCCCACTTCATATCCAACTCATTCCCAGATCCTCTTCCGCTGTGTGCTCCACACCTCAGCAGGATCAACTTCATTCCAGATTTACCCCTGAGCTCCAGACCATTGGATCTCCACTGTTAGCCTGATCCATACCCCCCTGTCCCATCCACCCTATGCACACTCCATCCAGCAAGACATCTGGACTTCACCTCATCTTGGATTCTGGACTATATCCATCTTCTTGTATTCCAGTCCTGTATCCACCTTGTCTTCTGGATCCCCAGATCTCTGGACCTCTGGATATTAATGCTGGACCTATTCCCACCCTCTGTCCGATATCCTGCACCTATCCCCATTTAGGCATCTCCACCTTTCTGGCTTTTGGTTACCTCTTCTTCCATCTTGCTTATTGATCCTTGTACAAGTCTTCATCTCTGAGCTCATTTAGTTATGTTCCATCTTACTTACTAATGTGTTTCCACATGCTTGTACATAGCCTTGCTCCTTTGCTTACTGATCCCCTCAGATGTTGTCCAGTATATAACCCCTGTAGATACTCTTGTAGTTCCTCAGTTTGAATATCAACTTAGACTTGCCCAATCCTCTCTTGGACTTTGGTCCACCTAAGTTTGTCCTACCCATCAGGCCTAGGGATTGATTCCCTAGGCCAGAGCTCCGCCTTTCCGGCACTTACCCTCTTTCTGGACTTAGGTCCAATCCCTGTCTCTCCAACTCTACCTTAGGGTAGTCTACCTCTGTTTGTTTCTACATCGGACGAAGTCTGATGTAGCCCCTATTCCTTCCAGACCTCTGGACCTCCTGTCCCTTGTACCTCCAGGCATCCTGTCCTTCGGACATTCCATCCTCCTAACCCTCGGACATCCTATCCTCCTGTCCTTTGGACATCCTGCCCTCCTGTCCTCCTGTCCTTCTGTCCTCCGTCATCCTGCCCTCCTGCCCTCCTGTCCTCCTGTCCTCCGGACCTTTGGACCTTCTATCCTTCCATCCTGTTTCCTGTAGAAGTATTACCTTGCAGTGGGAACTCTCCTGAGCACTTCCTACATTCCTCCAGAACTCTCCCATGCTCCTCTGGATGTTTCCTGTGCTCCTCCAGAAGTCCTCTAGCGCTCTCCAGCAGAGTAGCCAGCCTCCAGAAGTCCTCCAGACTTCATCGGACTATCATCGGACCTCATATGAAATGAAGGGCACATACTCAGGTAAGGGGCATAGTGTACAAGCTGAGACAAAGCCCCTCTGAGTCAGTCTCTCTCTCCTTTGAGCAACATGGTTCTTAACAGACAGTCACTACTGCTAGTTTCTAGTCCAGACTCATCTGGATTAGCCTTACGATACTTATCCTGCATCCAGAAGTCATCCAGATCCACTATGCTACCCATCCAACCCTCTGGATACATTAGTCTTGCCTTCCTGAAATAAGGGGCAATACTTGAGTAAGGGGCACAGTGCATGAGCTGAGGCCGAAGCCCTTAGGATCCATTAAACCTTGAGTATGAACTTAACAACTGAGATATGTGAGGTGGTGGATGTAGTCCAGAATCTAAGAGGAGGTAAAATCCAGATGTCTTGCTGGATGGAATGTGCATAGGGTGGACAGGATATGGGTGTATGGATTGGGCTAGTAGTAAAGATCTGGAGGTCTGGAGCTCAGGGATAATTCCATAGCAAAGCTAATCCTGCTTAGATATGGAGTACACAGTGGAAGGGGATCCAGGAATGAGTCAGAGGTGGGGTCCGGAAATAGGCCTGGAAGGCGTGGGAATATTATGGGATCTAGGTCTGGCATATGGGATATGACAGCTTTGAGCAAACCAGTTCTTAACAATACCTGTCCATTCCAGAGGGACTTGTCTTTGGCTTTTCTGGGAGTATACCCCCAATTACATGTACCTATACACCCTCTAATAGTGCCTCTATTAATGAGCATGTGGAAGTATTCCAAAGCATTGTTGAGCATGAGTTTTCCAAAGGACACTTTGTTGGTCCTTTCACAGCCAAAGACCTTAAGTCACCCATCAGGGATTTCCAAACAGCTCCATTATCACTTGTTCCCAAGCCCAGTAAACCTGGAAATTTTCATCTCATACAAAATCTATCACACCCCACCAACCCATCCCCTTCTATTAGTTCAATTAATTCTAGAGTTGACTCTGACCTTTTCCTGTGCACCTATGGCATCTTCCTCCTGGTTCTCAAGGAGCCATCCACAACATCACTGAAGCATATCACATGAGGTTCCCACATACCCACTGTAATTAGACATGACAGCTGGGCCTGATGGCAGGTCTTATTTGACTGGCTTTTAGCTGTAGCCACCCAAATGAATAAATATTCAATATTTCAAGGCCTTTGAGAGTAGCAAATACCTACTGGTAGTGTAGGGGGGTGGTAGGGGTGGTGTAGACTGTCCCTGGCATGCCTGGGAAGTATTTTTAATACAGCTGTCCATTAATAGAAGTGCCACCAGCTGTAAGATAGCCATGCCAGTGCTAAACCTTCATGCTCACTGTGCTAGACAGCGAGCTCAAGTATCTTGCCACCAGACTCATCAATTGAAGCCAGGCTTTTTTGTATAGGTAGTATACAATGTAAGTGACACATCATAGGCCACTGAGCAATGTCTATCTACCATCAAGCATCAACAGCAACCTGCAGGATGTCTTCGAGGATGCGAGAGTTCTCCTCCCTGTCTGTGTCAGCAATCTCCTCCTCATCAAGGTCCTCTAGCACTTCATCTTCTTCTCCCTCCATCATAGTGAGGCTTGTGGGAATGAGCACTGCTGGAATGCACACAGCAGCTGCACCAGGGCCTTCCTCCATACTTTCTCCTGGTGTTGTTGGTCCTGTAAAGCCTGGTAATGCAGTGATTTCATGCAAATGGTGGAGATGGTATGCTGTAAATCTTGCATGTATATTGTGGTGTAAGCCAACTTGATGAGCGAGGGCAGGGTGCATCGATTGAAGCTGCTTCTCACACTCAGCTAAATACAACACTTCATCATGCAAGTAGGTGGCTACACAATGGATCTTGATGTTGAGGCGTTGTATTTCCTCGCACGCTCGATGCATCTTGAAGTAAGTGTCCATTGTTTGTTAACCTGTAGGAGTTGCCCAAGGGTGATGCAATATGTCTTGCTGTGCATCTCACAGAAGGTCAAAGTCAGCCACAAAAGTGTACTTGACAACATCTTCCCAAGAGAGAGTGGTCATGGTGGAGAAACAGCATGTGCTGCTGCATTGTACCTGTCAAGAGCTGTGCGGATGGCTGCTGAATGCATTTGCAAGGCTTTGCCAATGTGTTTACGAAGCTTGTAACCTGGTATGAAATGGGCATGATTCAAGCAATCACATTTAGACTAACCTGTTCCCACTTGATTCATCTTTGAGAGCTCGAAAATTTGGGTGATAACCAAACCTTCCAGGTTATCAAGCACACATTGCAACTTGCAATTGGCAACTAGACGACCCACATCCCTCCACTCCTGATCATCCAGTACCCATCTATGAGTGATCCCAAGCTTGACCTCAAGCTCCTGTACAACCTTCAAATCCTTCTCATAATTCTCAATTGCATGTCTTCATGCAGTCTCGTTCCTCATTGTTGAAGTGATATCATGAGCCCTGAACTCTACAGTTCTGGGCATGGACACTGCCCAAGCCATAGACGTAACATCAAGGTCTTTCCTGATCAAATTTTTTTAGTCCACATGTGAATTAAAAAAGTGGACACTCACTTGCTCCCAGACAAGTTCACCAGCCTCTGCCAATATTCCATTTGGAGTGTCTTGCTTTCAGGTTCTTGTGTTAGGGACATTAGGTAGTTGTGCTCCTTGGCTAGCCAAGCGTCAAATGCGTTCTCATCTGTGACACCAAGCTCAACCATCAGTTTGGGCAGCATTCTTTGACCATCATGGAGCACATTGAATGCCTGCCTGTAGTTGTTGTATAGGAATGTAGCTAGCAATTGATAAAATATTAGCACTGCATCCCACTTCCTATTAATGTGAAAACTTACTAAGGTTTGCATATACCTCAAAATCATCATTATGTTGAAAGTAGTTAGCAATGGCCTGTCGCTGGTGGAAGATGCTGGCATAATGGACAGATGCAGCAAGTGCATTGGACTTTGAAAATATGCATTTGCACCCTTCAAGATCTTCAAGTCCGAGTCCATCAATATAGGTAGTGAGATGATTGAGTTGGCAAAGGCATTGGTGAGCATGTCCATGGAAAGCTCCAACGAGGGAAGTGTGGTTGAGGTCATGTGCATGGCATCCCACAGAACTTCAGCTGAGCATGGTTTTGAACCTACAACTGACATTGTAGCCACTGCCCAGGTCCTTCCTGAATGTATCTAGTAGTTTTGAGACCACTGCTAGAGGGTATTTTGATCTAGAAGTCAGATCAGTGAGCAGAAAACAAATGATGACAATATAACCTACTGTTCACTGCTCTGGACCATGTCAGCAAAAGAAGCAAGAAGCTGTGACAACAGGCAGACATGAAGATCCCAGATTCATCAAATACACCCCACATCTTCTTCATCTTTTCATTCCTCATATTTTTCCAGCATCCGGCACAAGGATTGTCCTAGGCACTAGGTTGAAAACAAAAGTAGGCATGAAGGAAAACTCACCTCATTGTTGTCTGCCATCATATCTGCAGGTGAGTTGGCCACAAACTGATCAATATACTCTCTTGGCAGATATCGGTCACTCCGAACCACTTGCATAGATGGGAGTTCAGCAGAGCGTGGAGGTATGTTGTTGTTGTTGTTGTTGTTGTTGTTGTTGTTGTCTGAGTCAAGCTTTTTTAAAACTCACTTGAGTGAATCATTGCCGTCCATAGTATAAAGCAGTCTAAATTTTAATGGGACTTCACCTTTAAGCATGTATGTACACACTGGACATGCATGCATCAGCCACCAGTTCAGATCACAATGCCCAATTGCTTGGTGAACCAGCATGTCGATGTTAGTGAGAATTTGTAAGTAGACATCAAGTGCAATTGAGAATTGCTGCGACAAGTATGGATAAAATTGAACCTAATATAAAATGAAGTCAATACATTACATATGAAGGGAACACAAGGTATGCACACCTTGCAGGTCACACAATGTCCTCACATAGGCCTGGATAGAGAAATGTGGATTGCACTGACATGTGATTTGATAGAAGTTGAGGGCTTCTACTGTTATTGCAGTTGATGGGCTGATAGGCAAACAAGGGATTACACCTTGGCGTACAAGTGCAGATGCAGTAAAGGCATCAGTAAGTAGAATACTCAGAGGTAGCCTTTCAGTGTCTAACAGTGCATACATCAGCAACCCGAGTGAGTATGTCATTAGAAGCTCACAAAACACATCTACCACCTTTATAGCAATCGATCCTGTATTCACATCTTGTGTCCTATCCGAGTAGTGAGAGAAAAAACCTCGCCCATCCAATGTCCTGTGAACAAGGTGCCAGTCCATATAGGCACCTGTCAATGCTGACATTTGCCTGTCAAAAGCTTCTGTATGGTGCCTAGTCCTGTCACGCCTGTTCCTGTAGTCTATGCGATGAACACGAGATGTCTTCATGTTTCTGATGACACCATAAGTCTCAACACTGTGATTACATTGTACAGTCAACTTACATGTTCCAGAAGTCACCCACGAGTTCTTGGGTAAGTTCCTGTAGCTCTCCACCTGCATGGCTAATGTCTATTGGCTTGGAGCCATCCAATATGCTCATGCCAAAACCATCATCACCATCAAATGCCCAATCACTGAAGTCATCATGAGGTTGTTGTAACACTTCAAGGGCGCATTTTTCCTCCATGCTCATTGCTATGTAAGTCACATTTTATCCTCATGGCACTAACAAAGTAAAGGATTTAGGTACCTTCCATGTGAGTTTTCTTGTGCATGTTTACGCCTGCTGCTCACTCAGAACTTTTTCTGGAACCTAGCAGCTCCTGTTGAGGATGAAGATTGATGGGGTCTCAGTGGGATATGACATGGCGAATTTTTAGTGAGGTGAGTCCTGTGCAATTTTTGGGACATTTGTTGAGGTGCACAGGTGCCATAGTATTATAGAATTGATGTTGGTACAAAGACTCAAGAGATTTGTATGCACATGACTCTGCAGAGTCAACAATTTCTTTTATGGATGAAGAGTAGTACCATCATGAGCTCCCAGTCTTCTTGATTGCAAGGTATAGTACACCACTACCCATCCTATTTTTCACATCATCAACTTTTCTAGGTCTACAGCATCCAGACCTGCTGGTGACTCATACTTGGACCAACTGAACAACACAGACACATTCCCAGCGAACAACAACTTGGACAAAAATCACAGGTGAGGGTACAGAGACTGAGACAGTTGGGGAGAAAATGCGCACCACGGACACTGAGAGAACTTAGACAATTACTGGGCCAGTAAGTATTTTTATTGATTATCAGAGAACAAAGGTACTGATCTTTGTTTGACATAGTCTGATCTCCCCATCTTAAACACCCAAGTTGAAGGGCCCCCCTCACCAACCCCTTCATCATCAACAGAGTCTAACTCAGTTGTTTCAGTATCAGTCAGTCTAGAATCTACACAGACACCTCCTTCCACACCCACTTCCTTGTCCCACTTGAGTGATGCTTTGTGTGCTCAGGTGGAAGACTTATCAGACCTTGTAGATGGAATTGATTTGGGACCTTGAGTTACTTACATACAATGTACCTTTGATCTATGAAAATGCCATCGATCCAGTATGATAATTGCTCTATTGGTATTCATTCTTCAGTGCTGCGATCTGATCTCACTGATACTGATCTTGCAAACATAAATGATACAATATAAATAATGCTCTGACATTATCTCTCTCTCCAAGCTACCAATCTACTATGGTAGATGACTATGGTAGATGAATACTAAGCATTTCTGAAGACAACTGAAGAAGTACCATACATGTAGAATACTTGGCTTAAGCTTGTGTCCCGAAGTGTGGCTGAATTTCATGTCAGTAATAACAATATTTTTAAGCAAATCTCATTAGCACAAACTGTCAATGTTCAACATCCAGTGTCCAATCTACAACAAAGCTCCCTTCTTCTCTGCAACAACTGTGACTCACTACACAATATGTGTCCTAAGTATGAAACTGCAGAGGAGCGTCAATGTGCTCAACTGAAAACCAAAAAGGAGAGCTATGCACAGTAATTTTGTTTAGTTCTTGTCCTCATCACTTTAGCACTGACTCACTTCTAGTCACTGACTTCAAGAACAAGTGAAGTCCCACACACAATGGCAACATCATAGAGGGGCTGCTGTGGTGAGCACTCATTTTAAATTCAGGCATATGTTACCGATGTCTTCACTTAGGATACTCAAGATCTTCTTCAGCACCTTGATGATGTATGGTTTCATCTAGGTTATCACAGTAGCACTCTCTAACATGATTTCTGGGAATCGTATGGGATGTCGATCATGACCAATGTCAATCAAGAGGGCTGGGATTCAGTCAGACTGGAATGTGAGGCAGGGCTCACAGAGGCGAAGGGTTTGCTCCAGCAGGCAATTGACTTGTGTACTGAAGCCCATGATGTTGATGGACCTCTCACAGATAAATTACACAATGGAATAGCATCTGTTGTAGATGTGGTAGAATTGCATATCCATGCATGGGAGGAGCTGTTGTCATTGATGGCCCTTGGAGTTGATATGTACTTTGATGCTCTTTGATATGGTTCACTCATCTGGCAAGGTCCCAAAGCATCATGATGATATTGAGGGGAGGGACGCACATGCTGCACAGTTTCTATAGTATATGGGCTCTGATTTTGTTACCACCTGGATTACATGCATATACATGTCTACTGTCTGCTGGAACTTTCAGTTCTGGTAGAGCGTGTTACCCCAGTCTTGAAATTTTGTGCACTCCTGAAGTACTCTTATGTTGAAGTGAACAAACAACCCTGTCTTGAAAGTACTGACCTCCACTGACATTCCAGTGAGGCTCATCAGCAAGTGATTCTGTGACACACTGATATCAGGTGTTCAGGTGGGACATAGTACTTAGAACAAAGTGTTACTTCATGTTGATTGAATTGGTGGAGCACAAGAGCTGGAAAGCCAACTTAAAGGCGAGACTCACCACTTTATGGCCTCTGACAATGATGCAAAGTGCAGCACACAGCCACACTGATATTGTTACTGCCAGCAAGTGATGGAAGCAAATGGTTAACTGTTCGACATTTTATAGGAGACTTTAAGCAGTTGCTTACATACTCACTTGAACATCAGCTGAGGCTTTATTGAGCCTTCCTTGTGTCAATTTGCTCCAGTGCTGATCACACTACTGTATATTGCAAACAACCATGACTGTGGATGAGGTGAGCACTATCTGGGGACAGCATGAAAATGGCTCATTCATTCATTCGTTCAATCATTCTCACACTCACTGCATCTCTGTGAGTATCGCAATAAGTCTGACTTTCAGAACTTCCTAACAACATTTGTCTCTGCAGGAGTGGGGCTATGGGATGACTTCCGTGAGGAATTGGGAACAATTTCATGCAGTGGTCATTAAGGTATGTCCATCAGACTGTATGCATGCTTCCCTGCTTGAATAGGACCTTGCCAGTTGGTACTTATATTGTTATGACTCCAGTGTTCAAACAGACATCATATGCAACCTCAAAATGTCCTGTACCTACCAATTTCCTCAGTGTTCAGGTGTTAGTACACTGTGTACACAGCCAGAACAGCCGGATGATGACTGGAGATTTTGTCTTAGTATGTATGCCTCACTTTCATCCAATCATTCATCCCTACATTCACTCTCTGATAAAGACGTCAATGAACCATCAAACACTGCTGAGCTTCTAGCAGAAGCTATCACCATTCACATGAATCACATCGCTGTGTGTTACAGTCGCACTTGCCCCTATTCATTTTCCACTTACAGTTGTATTACGTCATGACCGCGCTATGCTGCGCCATCATTAGACTCTTTTCTTGAACTCTTTTCTATATTTGTATCACATCGCGATCGCTCTTCGCAGCCATCATTAGATGACTCATCTCTTATCTCTGACTCATCTCCAAGTACCAGCCCTAAAGTACTTACATCCTATATAAGACCAGTTATGTACTTAGTAGATCTTTACTTTAATCTTACTAGGTTTTCACCAGAACTTCTCTTGCTTAAGACCTCCAATCTTAAGCCGTCTGAAACCGACATTCAAGTCAAAGACACTCTCTTTGCCTTGTCTTATGATCTTCGTATTTGCAAAGACTTGACTATAACATCAGCCATCGCTCTTATCGAGCTGCTGATTGTTACGACCATCCTAGTTCGTAACACTGTGCACAAGCATGTGACTTCAATATCATTGAAATTCAGTCAAGGTAAGCAAAAAAATAAATTGTGATTTTCTGTATATTTTTCAAGGTTCTCCATTGATGGATTTTGCCTTCTTGTTTGCTCTTATAGTAAAATTTGTTCTTTGGCTTTGCACAATGGACCTGCCCAATTTCACATTCATGGATGATTCCAACTTCCAGTGTGGTGGCTCTCTGTCAGCTAAGTAGTCATTTCCTTGGTCATCTTAAAATTTATAAAGTACACCCAAGAGGATGCCAGTACTGGCCTCAGTGGCCTGGAATATCCCCCATACCCTCCTTCCCAGGTGGCCAGATGTCCACATCATATGCCCTTCCCACATTCCCAGTCAATTCTGAACCTACAGTTTTTTCAGCACAACACCAATGCCAACCAATCTCCCTTTGATGGCAGCATCGACTGGAATGACCCAGGATTATATCAATCTCTCCCATCACTGTCTGAGCTGCTAAATGAGTACCCCGACATGCAAGATGTATTGTTACCTGCCATACCTCAAAGCAATGTGTCAGATTTGTCTGGACAGACAAGTACATTGTTACCCGCCATACCTTGAAACAATGTGTCAGACACATCTGGACAGACAAGTGTACCTCAAAGCAATGTGTCAGATGTGTCCCATGCCATTGATACATCTGAACAGACCCAGGATGAGGTGGCAACTTGGAATGGTGTGGGCCTCCATCACATCACTTGAGACTACTCACGCATCACTTCAGACCGTGCAGGACAGATAGACAATAATCAAGAAAGGCTACTTGAATCTCACATGGAGACTGGCACATCTGAAATCCCTGCTGATGCAAACAACTCATCATGGGCTGCTAGGAACCCAAACCAGCCTGTTTTTATGTCCCAGGCCTCACTCAACACTGTGCAGAAGGCACAAGCCAATGTGTGGAGAGCTTCACGAAAAATTTCAGCAGCACAATGCAAGGAGAATGAGAATGCACTCACCAGTTCCATCCAACGGTTACTTAGAGAGCAAAATGACAAGATTGATGCCATCACATCCAAACATGGCATCACTCAAGAGAAGGTGAAGAAGCTTATGGAAGGTGAAAAGTACTACAAAGGGAGCCAAAACATGCAACTTTCCAATGCATTGATACATGCAAAAGCACAGGAAGTCAATGCAGGTCAGTCATTGTGCTTTGAAGTGTTGGTGTGATTAGCCTGCTTATTGTAACAATAGATCATCCTCATGGGGCCAAGTATTCACTAGATGAGATTTGGGAAATGGTCAAGGCTGACAAGAGTATGCAAAACCTAGACCGCAATGAGCAGCAAGAATATATCAACAAACTCAAGGAGTGCCATGCCCTCCAGAATATGAGTGTTTGTGCAATGAATACTGCAGCAGCCAGAGATGTCCAGTCAATGTTAGATAATGTCTTTAAGATGGTAGGTTGAATGTATACTATGTCTAATGCTAGCTAATGAATATCTAGCTTGATGGCCTTGCCCTTTGAATGGGAATCTACACCTGCCTCTTCACCTCTTGTGGGCACGTGTATGATACCGCCCAGGCAATGTGGTTTGGAACAGATAACATCATGGACTTCTGGGAGGATGTCCTTCAAATGGAGGCTGATGAAATTACATGGAAACTGGAACAATGGGCATGTATAGCAGGTCGAAGTATGTATTCTTTCCTTTGTTTATGTATATTCTAATTTATAAATGCTAGACCTCAATGAATGTGAGATGGTACAGAACATGCAATGTGTTTGTACCTGGCTCCTCAATTCTGGGCTAAGTACTTGGTTTTCCCCTCTTATATTAGGGATCTTACTGACTACTGCATTTTTAGGGACTCTAGCTAAGAGGCATGACATCCACATCAATTATATGAATTTCGATATTGCCATGAAAGAGAAACTTGGGATTGATCTTAAAGGCTGGCCTGAGGGTTTGCCATTCCAGTCCTCCACCAGCATAAACAACCTCGATGCCATATTGAAGCTCCATGACACACTGAAAGATGGATCCTGCCATTGGTTCCATATGTCCCCCTGCCAATGGGAGGAGTACAGCACCCAACTCACAGTGCAAGAAGCATGCTGATGCTGGCATGCCACACAAATGCAAGGGAAAGGAGAATGCACCTCAGAGGAAGTGAACACAAGCATCGGGAGCATCTACACAGGCTCTGAAGAGTGTAGAATATGTAGACACGACTGATGAGGAGGACATAAGCAGAGATGAGGCTTAGTTGTTTAATTTATGTGATTATAGCACACATAAGCTCTCATTTGACCCCAGAACAATGTATATGATCATTTGCTAACTACACAAAAAAGTCCGGCTTCAATTGATGAGTCTGGTGGCAAGATACTTGAGCTTGCTGTCTAGCACAGTGAGCATGACGGTTCAGCACTGATGTGGCTATCTTACAGCTGGCGGCACTTCTATTAATGGACAGCTGTATTAAAAATACTTCCCAGGCATGCCAGGGACAGTCTACACCACCCCTACCACCCCCCTACACTACCAGTAGGTATTTGCTACTCTCAAAGGCCTTGAAATATTGAATATTTATTCATTTGGGTGGCTACAGCTAAAAGCCAGTCAAATAAGACCTGCCATCAGGCCCAGCTGCCATGTCTAATTACAGTGGGTACATGGAAACCTCAGGTGAAGCATATAGGATGGTCCCCCTCCACCATTCTCAATGGCCAGGTCTGGTGGTACAGCTCAGTGACAAGACATTTTCAGTCAATACCTCATTCTGCTTCAGTTTCAGTCTGTCTGCAGGGATATATGGAAATATGGTAGATGCTAGGGCTGACATATTTAGATCCAAAGGTATTGGTCCCTCATCAAAGTGGGTTGATGACCACTTGTTTTTTTCATATCAGAAGAGAATATATGGAAATATATAATAGGAAGTACCAATTATGGGCAAGTGAAATCACAGATAACAGTGGAATCACCCTGGATGGTGGCCACAAGTAGTTCAAAGGCAGAACACTTCCGGATGGATCAACAAGGGAGTTTGACAAAGACTCCCTTTTCTCTATCAGAGACATATCAAGTCAGTCACCATGCCCTGCTGAAGATGCACAGTTTACTTACTGTATGCAAGACATTGACCTCTTATTGGCAATCTTGGGAATCATATGGGAGCTTACCAAAGACAAACCATTTTGCAACAACCTGCAATACATTGGCCTGGTGTTAAGGTCATGTGCTCAAGGGGGTCAGATCACAAGGGCTTGGCCTCAGCTTGTATGCTGTGCCCCTTTCCTGAGTATTTGCCCTTAATTTCCAGGGGCTAGAACAGTCATCCGGAGTTTCTGGGATTTGACTAGGGCAGATAACGGACGTCTGGATCTGAAACATGAGATAAATCTGACAGACATCCAGATGTTGCTTGGACAAGCAGATAAGACTAATTGGGATGAAGTCCAGACTAGAAACTAACAGGGGATAGACTACCCTAAGGTAGAGCCAGAGATATAGTCTAGGATACAATCCTAAGACTCAGAATATGACAAGAGACTTGGCTCGAGTCCAGAGGACACAGGAATGAGCAGGAACTAAGATGATATTCAGACTGAAGTATTTCCAAGAGTTACAGGAGGTTTATATACTGTAGGTATCATATAGGAATCAGTCAGCAAACACAAAGGCTATGTACAAAGCATATGCAAAGTCTATTAGTAAGTAAGATGGATCACCAATAATGCATATCAGAAATGAAATGAATATAACAGATCAATAATCAGAAGGGAAACATAGTTAACCAGAGTCCAGAGACAGGGGAAGTCTAAATGGGGTTGGGCGCTGATATAGAGTTTGGATTCTGGAAGGAAGATAAAGATAGATCAGATTATTGGAGATCCAGCAGATCTTGGATCTGGATATCCAGAGAAGTGGATTTAGAGTTGAGGGTCTGGAGTGGCATATGACACCTGGTATGGACATCATCACAATGCAGATGGTGGCCCTGTCAGAGGAAAAATGTATTAAATACCTCGAGGCCATTCATGGAATTGGAATCATCATCAATGGGAGGTGGCAGGCATAGGAGCTCTTACCAGGTTGGAAAAGAGACAGTCAGTCAAGACATTGGATGGGCAGAAGGTGTCAGCTTTGAGCTCCTCATCTGAGCCATCACAAATGCTTGCCCCCTGGGATTCATTTCAAGGTCTACAGCAACAATTGCAGGATCATCAAAGGTTGGTGGAAAGGACATAGCAAAAGCCAAACCTGCAATGAAATCTTCAAACAAGTTCATCAGATCACTGCTAATACCAAATGCACAGTTCTTACTTGGTACATACCAAGCAGAGAGAACCCTGTGCGTGGCCCTTCATGTGAGCAATATCCCCCAGCATGTGAAGAGCTACCCCCAACCCAAATCCCACCAGAACTGCACACCTTCCTTGCTGAAATACCCGGATCTGGCCACAGCTGCCACAGACAATATGACCTTTAGTTCCAACTCCTGTGCCTCATGCCTTGAATCACTTTACCCAATGGGCTGAGAGCATAATGAATCAGAGTTCAAGCAGTGTGATTACATCAACCATCAATTCGAATCTGAGGGAGAAGAGCTCTTCCAAGTCTCAGAAGCCTAGTAAGTACCATGACACATTATCAATCATTTTCTGACCTATAGGAATAAGCATATAACATCAACCTAACCCCAATATACTTAGAGAGCACTCACAAAACCTATGGATCTGGCCTGCTTGTATTCCATGTCTCCTGCAACAGTATGTCATATCCCACAATCCAGACCCAGATTCCATAATATTCCCACGCCTTCCAAGCCTACATCTGGACCCCATATCCAACTCATTCCCAGATCCCCTTCTGCTGTGTGCTCCACATCTCAGCAGGATCAACTGTGCTCTGGATTTACCCCTGAGCTCTGGACCTCCGGATCCTTACTGCTGGCCTGATCCGTATCACTGTATCCCATCTACCCTATGCACACTCCATCCAGCAAGACATCTGGACTATATCCACCTCCTCATATCCCAGTCCTGTATCCACCTCATCTTCCAGATCCTCAGATCTCCAGACCTCCAGATATTAACTGTAACTATCTCCAGATGTATTCCCACCCTCTGTCTGATATCCTGCACCTATCCCCATTTAGACATCTCTGCCTTTCTGGCTTTTGGTGACCTCTTGTTCCATCTTGCTTATTGATCCTTGTATGAGTCTTCATCTCCAAGTTCATTTAGTTATGTTCTGTCTTACTTACTAATGTGTCTCCACATGCTCGTACATAGCCCTCCTCCTTGGCTTACTGATCCCCTCAGATACTCTCCAGTATATAACCCCTGTAGATACTCCTGTAATTTCCTCAGTTTGAATATCATCTTAGACTTTGCTCTACTTGCCCAATCCTCTCTCGGACTTTGGTCCACCTAAGTCTGTCCTATTCATCAGGCCTAGGAATTGATTCCCTAGGCTGGAGATTTGCCTTTCCAGCACTTACACTCTTTCTGAACTTGGGTCCAATCCCTGTCCCTCCAACTCTACCTTAGGGCAGTCCACCTCTGTTTGTTTCTACATCAGACTTCACCCGATGTAGCCCCTATTCTTTCCATACCTTTGGACATCCTATCCTCCTGTCCTCCTGTCCTCCATCCTCCTGTCCTCCTGTCCTCTGGACCTTCGGACCTCCTATCCTTCCATCCTGTTTCCTGTAGAAGTATTACCTTGCAGTGGGAACTCTCCTGAGCACTTCCTGCATTCCTCCGGAACTCTCCTGCACTCATCCAGAAGTCCTCTAGCACTTCACCAGAGTAGCCAGCCTCTGGAAGTCCTCCAGACTTCATCAGACCATCATCAGACCTCATATGAAATGAAGGGCACATACTTAGGTAAGGGGCACAGCATATGAGCTGAGGCCAAGCCCCTCTGAGTCAGTCTCTCTCTCCCTTGAGCAAAACAGTTCTTAATACAGTAAGGTAATCCCCAAAGATCAAAGAGCCCCAGCAAACAACATATTAATTGAAACTTTCATCTCATGCATGGTCAGTCATTATTCTGGGAAGATGGTCTCCAACCACATAAATGGGGTCCTGTTAAGGTCGTACTCAAGGGCTAACTGGATCTGAAGGGCTTCAGCCTCAGCTTGTGCGCTGTGCCCCTTACTCAAGTATTGCCCCTTATTTCAGGAAGACAAGACTAACGTGTCTGGAGGGTCAGACAGGTAGCATAGCAGATCCGGATGACTTCCGGATGCGGGACAAGTATTGTAAGGCTAATCTGGACAAGTCCAGACTAGAAACTAGCGGTAGTGGCTGTCATAGACAGAGGCGGATGTGGATAGACTATAGGAATCAATCCTAAGTCTCGGAGGGTGACGAGAGTAGAGATACTCAGGTTCAGAGGACAGGAATGAGCAGAACTAAGTTGATATTCAAACTGAGGTACTACAGAGAGTTACAGGAGGTTATATACTATAGGTATCTAACAGAATGATCAATCAGCAGAGTCCAAGGCTATGTATGAAGCATATGGATGGTCTATTGGTAAGTAGAAGTGGATCACAAATAATGAAATGGAAATGAAGCATAGGTAACGGATCAGGGAGCAGGATGGATATACAGATAACTGAAATACTGGAGTTAGGGGATTACTGAAAAGAGACGAGTGCTGGTTGTGGATTCGGATGAATTGTGAACCAGACCAGGCAAGTGGACAGATTGGATGACAAGATGTTGGAGGGAGATTGGATGACAAGATGTTGGAGGGAGATGAGATGTGGATAGGATTGGAGATAAGATGTGGATTGGATCTGAGATGAGATAAGGATCAGATCTGAGATCCAGATATGTGGATATGACAGGTCCATGCTTGGCACATGGTGCATGGTACAGCTTGGTCACTGAACAACATTGAAATAGAAGCAATGCTAAAAACAGCCATATTACTCATGCCTGCATCTGCTAAGTGCAACAAATGTGAACCATATATCATTGATTTAATCATCGCTATCTGGGAAAAGCTCAATCTCAATGATCCATTGGATGCATCAGTGTATGCCTGCCTCACCACCATCTTCTATGCAACCACCAAAGTGGGAGAATTCACTGTCCCTTGCCTCAATGCCTTCAATCCCAATCAGCACATCACACTCAACAGTGTGAAGGACATGCAAGACTGACAGAACCTTGTCACCAAGAATTTCCACCTCCCATGGACAAAATCTGCACCAGGAGGTGAAGATGTGCACTGGGCTAGACAAGTGGACCTGTCCAACTGTCATATGCCATTCCAGACTCTCAACTCTAAATCCACTTCTCTGGATATCCAGATCTGAGATCCAGATCCCCAATGCTCTGATCTATCTTTATCTTCCTTCCGGAATCCAAACCCTATATCAGTGCCCAACCCCATTTAGACTTCCCCTGTCTCTGGACTCCAGTTAACTATGTTTCCCTTCTGATTATTGATCTATTACATACATTTCATTTCCAATATGCATTATTGGTGATTGTTAAGGTTGTGTGCTCAAGGGGGTCGGATCACAAGGGCTTGGCCTCAGCTCGTACGCTGTGCCCCTTTCCCAAGTATGTGCCCTTAATTTCCGGGGGCTAGAACAGTTGTCCAGAGTTTCCAGGATTTGACTAGGGTGGATAACAGACATCCAGATCTGAAACAAGAGCCAGAGATGTAGTCTAGGATACAATCCTAAGACTCAGAATATGACAAGAGACTTGGCTTGAGTCTGGAGGACACAGGAATGAGCAGGAACTAAGATGATATTCAGACTGAAGTATTTCTGAGAGTTACAGGAGGTCTATATACTGTAGGTATCATATAGGAATCAGTCAGCAAACACAAAGGCTATGTATGAAGCATATGCAAAGTCTATTAGTAAGTAGGACAGATCACCAATAATGCATATTGGAAATGAAATGTATGTAATGGATCAATAATCAGAAGGGAAACACAGTTAACCAGAGTCCAGAGACAGGGGAAGTCTAAATGGGGTTGGGCACTGATATAGGGTTTGGATTCTGGAAGGGAGATAAAGATAGATCAGATCATCGGGGATCTGGATCTCAGATCTGGATATCCAGAAAAGCGGATTTAGAGTTGAGAGTCCAGAATGGCATATGACAGACATGGTGTAAACAGACCCAAACCAGACTGCAGACATATGTATGTTCTCACCACCAAACCATACATGTCCAAGCAGTGTTCTAAACCAGACACTAACCAGGGTACAGGTACCCTCAAAAGATGTATCCAGATGTCAGGATAGCCCAAAGGGTCAAATCAACACAAAAAATTGTTAAGTCTTTTATTTACTACTTACTTCACATTTACATCATGCTCATGTTCAAAGACAACACCATATGCCTTGAACTGCCTCTCAAGTACCCTGAAATGATACATGTTATGTTTATTCCAGACATACCCAGCTCCCTTGTATGTCTTTTTTTACTTGCCATCGAAAAATCAGCATCTCATGTTGCTAGACAATCAAAATCATACCGTCTACTTGCACAACCATGAAATCTCCTGACATGTCCAAGGAAAAATATATGTACATATATTTTGTGTGTTAGATGTTGCTGATATGTTTCCAGCACTTCCCCAAAATTCACAAACATTTATTGGTCTGGGAATTGATAACTCTCCTGTGAAACCATCTGCACCCACAAAACCCATCAGCAACATCATTTTCCATCCTCCAATGACTCACATGGCTGATCTTCCTGCCCCAGATGATAGTGTCATGGAGCCCAAGTCCGAGGTAGAGCAAGGAGTTGTCAATGTAGCTGATAAGGTTCGTCCTTATACCTTACTACTTTAAATTTCTAGCTGTTAATTGATTTTTAGACCATGGTGAACATGAGTGCTGGTATCAAATGCCTGGGCAGTCCTCTCATTTCAAACAAGCTCCATACTACTAGATACTAGATGTTGTATAGATGTGATGTGTGTCATGCTGGAAAAAGTCATGTGACATGGAACATGTGTATCAGTGTATTGGTGTTTCAGTATTTGTGGGGTGCACATTGACCAACTTCAAAACAACAACCATGCCCCCCACCATCAGATGCTACTACAAGTCTTACAAGTGCAATGGTTCAATCATACTGGTGGCTACTAGAAGAACTCATGAATGTGCTGATTCTCAGAGAAAGTTGCAGAGTGCCGTCCACTCTGGACATGTCTTACCCTACAAAACAACTCATGTTGAACCTGCACCACATGCAAACCAAGTTCCAGCACCTCTGCTTCCACCAGTCTTTGATTTCCCAGACCCCCCCCTCCCCCTGTTTCTCCTTGCCCTGTTGAACAGGAGATGCTTGATTGTGGCATGCTCACAGCAGAGGATATAGCTATTCAAATCTATGGTCATGCTTTCCCCAACCTTGGCCCAAATTTTCACACTCCAGAGGCACTTCTTGATGCACTGGACTACTATGATGCATATAGTGATGTTACTGCAGCAGGCACCCAACCCCTGAATGCATATAGAGTGCATTCACTACCTAAGGATCTGGAGTAGCACACCATGGAGCGAGAATTAGAGAAGGTGCTGGAAGATATCCAACAAATGGACCCTGGTGAAGAAGACATGGACTTCAACATGGGTGATCCAGATATGGACTTCAATGAAGATATGATGGATGATGGCACTCCTGCAGATGTGATTCCACCTGGCCTGGATAATGAAGATTTTTTCATGTCTAATGGTAGCTGTGCCGTGTCTACCCTTCTGCCCCACCTCCTCACCATATATACACTCACTACATGGCTACATCTGCAATGGCATCTTCCTCACACTGCATGCAATGTGCTTCTCTCTATCTTATCCTGTTTGCTACTGTTCTTGTTTCCTCAGCTTGATACTCCATTCCACACACTGCAGTCAGCTACATGCATGCTAGTGCTCAATACTCCATTTTACACCCTTCCTTGTTGTCCCATGTGCTGAGAAGTATACCTGCCTGCAGGTTCTACTCACAATCAAGACACTTGCATGACTTGCAACATCCCTCTGTTTTTACCTGATACTATGAGGCATGGATTTACTTGTATGAAGAAAATTCCTTATGTTAAGTATCCATATCTCCCTCTTTCAGTTCAAATCCAGTCTATCTTAACGATTCCAGGTGTTGAAGCCACACTTGATGGCTGGCATTCAAAGCCATGAGCATCTGGTCAATACACAGATATATTTGATGGTGATATGTGTCACCTGAAACTCAAAGCATCTGATGGAAGTCTTTTCTTTTCAAATGGTCCAAATGAATGCCAAGGACCTGACAAAGAGCTTCACATAGGTGTCAACCTTGGAGTTGACTGGTCTATACTAGCACATTTATGGTTGTGTGGTGTGCTCAGATACTAGTACTCTTCAGGTTCTCGTATATATGCAGTAATATTGTACCATCCCACTCGTTGTGTCTGACATTATTTTCTATTTGTAATCTTCCCCCCAAGTATCAGTGAGTGGCACTACATGCTTATTCACTTGAACTAACTTGTGTTATATAACACAGCTATTGCATATCTAATTTGTTGTGTATGAGCATCATATCAGGTCTGAAGGAGCAGAATCCTGATCAAATCCAATGCTTTCTTCATCCAATTGTCTCAGATCTCTTATGACTCTGGAAGCACAGCATCAAGGTACCAACAAAATCTTGTACAGAAGGTGAGTAAGATATGAGATATGAACCATGTCAGCAGATCAACTGATAATTTGAATGAAGGTCAACTTGTTCACTTAATTCTTGGTGCTGTAGTTGGTATTAAAGCTATTACTTCTGACACCCATGCCAACTATGATTCCCAACATTCAAGGAACAAACAAATTTACAACAGTGCAAGTTAGGAGAAAAATACCAACAACTCACCACACCTACCACATGCAAGAACTTTGTCAAAGACTATGCAACATGCTATACCCAGCTTTCCAGGCTCCCATACTTCAATTTAGTCAACCAGGTTGTAATCGACCCAATGCATAATCTATTTCTTGGTACATTCTATTTCATGTTTTATGTAATTGCTCATTAGACAATAGGTCTCATCAAAATGCATTTCTACAATATTTGGGTGCAAGGGAAAGTACTCCATCCAAACCATGAGCTCACCACTTTTCACAACATGCTTGCTAATGTAAGTATACTTTCTTCTTGTTTCATCAGACTGACATGTAACATAGTTCACCCTACCAAGTGCATGCAGAAAGCTCCCTAAGGACATAGGCATGCCCTCAGGAGGATTGTTCACAGTTGATCAATGGCTCTTGCTTTCAACTGTTTACGGTCCAATAGTAGTAAGTTTCTTTTCCATACATAAAGATATGCTACTGAATCATCACATCAGATACCACAACTATGGAGTACATGTCTCCCAAGTTGTGATAGTGACCAGATCCTGCAAGATTGTGTTGCACAGATCAAGCAACTAGAAACCAAGAAAGCTTGTCAGGCTGAGAAGAAATTTGCAAACCATATGACACTTGAGGCAGCTAAAAAGCAAGGTAAAGAAGCTCACATACTTGAGAGGGCTCATATTGCCAAGGAGAAAGAATTAGAGGTTGCTGACAAGAATGATGCAAGACTTAAAGCTGCTGCCACCAAGCAAGCAGAGAAGGCTTGACTAGCTGCAGAGAAGAGGGCTAAGAAGGCTCAACTCTCTGCAGAGAAAAAGGCAGCAAAATATCACAAGAAGGTATGTGCTGAATCAATATATTTCCTTTACTCATCTACTCTACAGGCCACAAATGATGCTATGGAGGTTCTTGTTATGAACTCAGATAGAGCGTCGTTCCAATAAAGGAATCAGGATCAAGGTCAATCAAGGACTAAGCCTTATTGAGTCAACGCCTCCCTCAGGAGCAATCACTTAGACTCCTGCAGGATCTAAGGTTCAAAATGGGACAATGGCTAGCCTTCTTCCCAAGGAGCTAGAGTTCGAGTATCAAGGAGAACCGACTAGATTCAAGTTAGAGAAAATACAAGTGGTAACTAGGGTTTATATATGTAAGGGAATCGTGCACAGACCAGGCTGGGTGAAGGGTAATGACTACTGAGAAAGGAAGGTTCATGGGAGAACAAGGTATGAGTCAAAGATAAGGGAGACCATGAGGAAACAGCACAGTGAAAAGGAAGCATTAGAAGTACAGCCATATAGGAGTCTGCAGTGATGATGGGAAAAAGAGTGGGGCACTGTAACAGTTCTCCCCTCTGATACTCAACCAGAACCACTCCCCTCCACTGCTCCTGAAGTCCCTCACACAACTGATACAGGTGATGATGAAGAAGAACTTAAGTTTGGTCTGCACCCAGACAACCCAGCTAACTTCCTCAAGCTATCTGGTGCTCTTTGGATCTTGATGCAACATACTTTTTTGGATGCAGACATTGATTCCACAGACACACTTATCCAGCAATATATTACTGAATTACTGAAGGTATGTCTTGCTGTCAATCTGTCTTATGGTATGCCCCCCAATTTACACTCAATATCTAGCTTTATGATTCAAATGTTATCAAACCAAACTACCACTATGCGACACATATTGTGACATTTGCACACAACTTCAGGCCACTTCACGACTTCTGGACCTTTCTTTTTGAGCACCTCAATACAGCACTTAAGTCTTTCAAGACCAACAACCATGGAGACAGAGAACTCAAGACAACATTTTTCTCTGAGTTCCATTGAATGTGTGAGTTGAGTCATTTGGTAGGTTTCTTGCTACATCATCCAATTAACTAAAGGCTAATTGTACACTAGACCTATGTGTTACTACAGATGCCCAAGGAGTCTCTGCCATGCGAAGTGGCAGAGCAAATGCTCAAGGCTTCATCCGAAGAATGTGGTACAGTTGCAGCTCCATCTAAAGAGTTAGATGAGGTCAATGCTGATGGTACACATCTGCATCTTTCTTATACTTCACTAGCATCTCATTTTATTCAGCTGTGCAAGCTTATGCACTCAGTCCCCAGTGCCAGAAAATATCAATGACCCTGGAAACATGTCACTTGCTAGCCAAGACCACTTGTTTCTGTTCTCCTCTTACCCCTGTACACTGCTGATTGGATCATCCCATCATTCCTCATAGTATCCCCCCTTGATTGAAAAGCAACTTTCTTTGATTATGCTGTGATCGCATGCTGTTATCCCTAACTCGCATGGCCATGGTGAGGGAAGTTGTGATGGTTAGGTCAGACATGCAACTCCCCAGCCTCATAGACCTTGAGTGCATATGTGGACACCTGGCTCACACAACAGTATGTGTTGGCAAACATGGGGTAAAAGTGTGGGCAACTATTAACTTGGCTGAGGTAAGTTTCTATCTATCTAGGAATAGTTTATGCAGACTGACAACAATGACAGTAAATTTTCTTGCAGGATTAATGTCAGGATTTGTCGTGCCTTTGATAATAGTGTCAAAAATTTCTATGAAGCACAAGATGTTTGCATTCACATTGCCAGCCATTTAGTAACAGTATTATGAAAACTAATCGGACCCATTGTCCTCTTCATCAGCATACCACTCCTCCAGCTCATCAAGATATTTCTTGTCCTCTGGTGCCAAGTTTCCATCATGAATATTCTTGTAAAGGTCCTTCAGCCACTCTGCACCTTCCACTACCATAATGTCCTTATGCTCATGTAACCACTTCTGATTCACCATTGTGTTGAACAGGACTGTTGACTTGCCTGACTTTGGGAGACAAGGGCTCATGTCTAAGGGATGGGCATTGAATGGTGTCTTATGTTCGTCCCTTGGTTTCATTACCTTATGGCGCTTCACTGCTGGCTCTGCAGATCTACCCTGTGCATTCCAGCCACACCTATAGATCTCATCCAAGATGCAGACAAATGCTGTGTACTATCAATGGCAAAGGTAAGTTATAGTCCCTTAATATGATCTGAAGTCTTACATATGAGGACCACCACTCCAACCCCAGCACTCAGGTTGTTCTCATCACACAACAGGATATCTGATCCATAGTCTGTGTCTATTAGTGCAGCTGATCCTTGATATTCATAGGATCTCTCAAATTCTGGAATTGCCCCATGACAATGACTTGCTGCCTATTATTTACATCTGTAAGTGATTGTGTGTATATTCATGTGTTGCAAATGGCTTACAGTTTGATGTCTCCCACAATGACAAGAATTGATTTGCTTGTTGGTAAGCTTCTGTGTTTTCTTGGCTGACATGTGAATAGAGACTTGCTAACTCAAATTTCACCAGTATGACTTCACAAGTGCAGTGATGATGGCTTGTGTTAAGAACTGGTTTGCTCAAGGGGGAGAGAGACTGACTCAGAGGGGCTTGGCCTCAGCTCGTATGCTGTGCTCCTTATCCAAGTATGGGCCTTTCATTTCAGAGGAAGTCTGATGATGGTCTGATGAAGTCTGGAGGACTTATGGAAACTGGCTACTCTGGTGGAGTGCTAGAGGACTTCTGGAGGAGCACAGGAAACATCCAGAGGAGTGTGGGAGAGTTCCAGAGGAATGCAGGAAGTACTCAGGAGAGTTCCCACTGCAAAGTAATACTTCTATAGGAAACAAGATGGAAGGATAGGAGGTCCAAAGGTCCAGAGGACAGAGGACAGAGGACAGAGGACAGAATGATAGGATGTCTGAAGGTATGGAAGGAATAGGGGTTACATTGGATGAAGTCTGATGTAGAAACAAATGGAGGTAGACTACCCTAAGGTAGAGTTGGAGGGACAGGGATTAGACCTAAGTCTAGAAAGAGGGTAAGTGCCAGAGAGGCAGAGCTCCAGCCTAGGGAATCAATCCCTAGGCCTGATGGATAGGACAGAACTTAGGTGGACCAAAGTCCAAGAGAGGATTGGGCAAGTAGAGCAAAGTCTAAGATGAGAGAACAGGATCTAAGATGATATTCAAACTAAGGAAACTACAGGAGTATCTACAGGGGTTATATACTGGAGAATATCTGAGGGGATCAGTAAGCCAAGGAGCAAGGCTATATACAAGCATGTGGAAACACATTAGTAAGTAAGACAGAACATAACTAAATGAACTTGGAAATGAAGACTCATACAAGGATCAATAAGCAAGTCAGAAGAAGATGTAACTGAAAGCCAGAAAGGCGGAGATGTCTAAATGGGGATAGGTGCAGGATATTGGACAGAGGGTGGGAATACATATGGAGATAGTTACAGTTAATATCCGGAGGTCTGGAGATCTGGAGATCTGGAAGGTGAGGTGAATACAGGACTGGGATATAATGAGGTGGATATAGTCCTGAATCTGAGATGAGGTGAAGTCCAGATGTCTTGCTGGATGGACTGTGCATAGGGTGGTATGGATCAGGCTAGCAGTGAGGATCCAGAGGTCCAGAGCTCAGGGGTAAATCTGGAGTGGAGTTGATCCTACTGAGGTGTGAAGTACACAGCAGAAGGGGATCTGGGAATGAGTCAGATATGAGGTCTGGACATAGGCTTGGAAGGTGTGGGAATATTATGGAATATGGATCTGGATTGTGAGATATGACAGTTTGATCATAGTCCTCATCCTTCATTTCTGGCTTCTTCTGCAAGTCACTTCATAAGGACTAGCAGGGTGGTTAGCAGGGATAAACAAAGTGAGTAAGTTCTATACCATTTCATTGTCCCAAACACGCTGAATGACCTCCACGACATATAAAGCATTTACTTTATTGTTGATTTTGGCCATCTATTGTGGCCTCCACACTTTCACTCCATCCACTGTTGTCTCATAAGGATCTCCACTCTCAAGAGGTGGCATCTTGGTGAGTAGCTCCACTCATTCTCCACAGACAGCATTGACATCAATTCCACAGGGCTCAAAGAATATAGGATGTATGATAGGCTGAAATAGTCAGTGTGCAGTATGCTTGACAGTAAGTAGTCACTTACTTTCAGTGCTGGGTGTTTATTGGAGATATTCTTCTTACCAGTTGTACTCTTAGATGTGCCTTTTGTTGTTGCTATCTGTATCCTATCTAGACTCAATCCATACTATATCCATATGCTATCCATACCTGAGGACATATGTAGTTAATCACTATCCACACACAACCTTGAGTATGGTTTGTCTGATGGGCCTAAATCTAGACATTAGATATCACATCTAATTAGAGTATGGTTAGGGTCCGAAAATTGTGTCAATCTAGAAGTTGTTTGGACTTGGGCAGATGTACTCACTCATATCCAGTTTGGGTATAGTTAATTCTTCTATTTGTACTCTATCTGGATATGGGCATTTTCTCGTTTCTGCAGTGAGTGGAGCTGATCCTGCTGAGGTGTAGGGCAGACAGTGGAGGGAGAACTGGGAATGAGATGGATATGAGGTGGGGTCTGGATGTAGGCTCAGAAGGCGTGGGAATATGATGGAATGTGGGTCCAGATTGTGAGATATGACATATGTGTTCCAAACCTTATGTGCTGAGGGGCCATCATGAAATGTAAGCAATCTTCAACTCTGCACATCAAATGCACCGGCCAGGTCTGTCCAGTATGTACTGCGGCTTTATGCTGCTTGAGCCTCTGCAACGTACAGGGTTTTGGTGAGCTGGGAATGCATATGCAATGTTGTTGTAGGGCAAATGAATGGTGGATGGGAGAGAATGAATGGAAGAGACAGAAACATCAGCCCAGACTGTTCAGCCCACCTCCAGAAGCTTTCACAATCATCTGCTGGTCTTAAGTGCAATATGAATGAAGCTCTGCCATGGCAACCACCACAACCACCACAACATATCCAACCCTTGTGTGGTAGGGGGAGGGGCTAGGGCTAGGGGAAGAGTGAGGGGTACAGTTATGACTCGTGGGATGGGACAGGGCACTACTGACCATCCAGATCCCCCCCAACATCAACCTGCAACCAATAAAGATGTTACTGCTACTCTTGGGGATGATGCCACCTTTGCCCCCTCCAAGATCAGGTGGGAAACCACCAATTTTGATGGCACTACCCCTCTCATATCCTGGCTCACTGCACACCCAGCTGACTGCCATGTACTATTCTCCAATAACAAAAAAAGACACAACATGACAATCAGCACTGATCATTCTTCTGGCAGGATCAAAGCAGATATTCACCTTGTAATCGCCAAACATATCTTTGAAGATAACCCAGTATATGGTGCCCAGTATGCTGTAGCAGGAAACCAGCCAAAGTTTGGCCATGCTGTTGCTAATCAGCTCACATAGTAAGCATGGCGCTGGCATCAACCCTCGTGACCCTTGTGGTTTGAAGACCTTGATGCACTGTGGAAAGACAACCCTGCATTTTCTCCAAAGGCTTTTTCCTCTGCTCCTGGCAAAGATCATGCTGATGGCCTCCAAGCACTGTCACAGCCTACTCCTCACACTACTGTTCATGCACATGCAAGATACACTGCACTGACAAGTTCTATAGTGTGATCAAGAATAACTTTGAGGCAGACAGTGAGTTCATCTGAAGAATGTGAGATACCAGCTCCCCACAAGCTCACAAGGGCAATGGGACGGTAGACCATCATAAGCAATTGTCACTCATCAGCTTTAAGCATCCCAGCAGACACCTCTCCAAAGTTACTGGGGACTGAACCAAGCCAAGTGAGGACAGATGTATCTTGAATGATGTTGCAAATATGTTCAAGTACTTTTGCTGTCCCAAACTGAGGTTTGTCTTGTGGAGCAGCTAAAGGCTTTCCACAATGCTGTATATAAGTATTGGGAAACTCAGGACAGTAAACATGATGGTGAAGAACTTACCCAGTTGAGGAGGACCTTGACATATGTAATCTATCTCAAATGTTCTACCAGCTTTCCTTGGCACACAACCCAGGGTATTGCAGATGAACTTCAATGGTTCCTGTCATATCCACATATCCGGATCTCAGATCCGACCCTTATCTCATCTCAGATCCACATCTTATCTCCAATCCTATCCACATCTTATCTCCCTCCAACATCTCGTCATTCAATCTGTCCACTTGTCTGGTCCAGTCCACAACTCATCCGAATCCACAATCAGCGCTCATCTCCTTTCAGTAACCCCCTAACTCCGGTATTTCGGTTATCTGTATATCCGTCCTGCTCCCTGATCCGCTACCTATGTTTCATTTCTGTTTCATGATTTGTGATTCATTTCTACTTACCAATAGACTATCCACATGCTTTGTACATAGCCTTGGACTCTGCTGATTGATCATTCCGTTAGATACCTATAGTATATAACCTCCTGTAACTTTCTGTAGTACCTCAGTTTGAATATCATCTTAGTTCTACTCATTCCTGTCCTCTGGACTTGAGTACCTCTACTCTCGTCACCCTCTGAGACTTAGGATTGATTCCTATAGTCTATCCATATCCACCTCTGTCTCCGACAGTCCATTACTGTTAGTTTCTAGTCTGGACTTGTCCGGATTAGCCCTACAATACTTATCCCTCATCTGGAAGTCATCCGGATCTGTTACGCTACTTGTCCGACCTTCTGGATGTGTTAGTCTTGCCTTTCTGAAATAAGGGGCAATACTCAGGTAAGAGGCACAGCGCACAAGCTGAGGCTGAAGCCCTTCAGATCCAGTTACCCTTTGAGTACGACCTTAACAGTTCCATAGTCTTATGCAACAGAGAGTTTGTTACATCTGGGAAACAAGAGAGTCTGGATCACAGATATTTGAGTCATTTCCTTCAATGTCATTGTCCTTTTCATTGGCTTTGAGCCTTTGGGGGGGCAAATATATTCTTATCCACAAGTCTCTGGTGATCAACAATATCCAATTCTTATTCTACCACATGGTGCTATACCATGTTCTTGATGCAAAGGACTGTTTCAATATCATTTTCCAAATTACTCTCTTCTGAACTCATACCACATTCTCCTAGCATGCTCACTAGTTGCAGAAGCCACTGCCATGCTGGGAGATCCTCTTCTTTATCATCAGTCTTCTGCTTAATGAGATGGTTGAGAACTGTTGCTCTACAGAGATATTTCTGAGGAGGGAGCAGTGCTAGAACTGTCTGGATATTGTGAGCATACATTTCTGCAATGTGTTGTTTGATGAGTCACATTCGAATTCTCATCCTTCCTCACAGTTAACCTCACCTCTACCTCTGCAGGAGTCTCCTCCAGCACACCCTTTGCTGTGACCTTAGGCTGGGTACATATCTTGACTGTATGCAGTCACTTGTAGTGATCTCAAAGAATTGCTCTGAAATATGTCTCTGACCTAGCAAGTGGCCACTTTCTCTTCATCGCCCCTTCTTCATAATTCTCCAAGTAGCAGATTGATAATTTTACTATTCCAGGGGGTTTTGGACCCATTCTTGGTATCAAACATGAGGTTTTTCAGATCAGCACCTGGGCCATCTTCATGTTTATATAAATATACATCCTCACAGCTAGCTGCCTCATGGGCTATGAAATCCTTAGAATTGCTCTTGCATCTTCTGGACTTCAGTCCATCTGAGTCTTGTCCTTGCCTTTCCAGTACTTACTGTTAAGAACCATGCTCAAAGGAGAGAGAGACTGACTCAGAGGGGCTTGGCCTCAGCTCGTACGCTGTGCCCCATACCCAAGTATGTGCCCTTCATTTCAGAGGAAGTCTGATGATGGTCCAATGAAGTCCAGAGGACTTCCGGAGGCTGGCTACTCTGGTGGAGAGTACGGGAGGACTTCTGGAGGAGCGTGGGAAATGTCCGGAGGAGCGCGGGAGAGTTCCCGCTGCAAGGTAATACTTCTACAGGAAAACAGGATGGAAGGATAGGAGGTCTGGAGGACAGGAGGACAGGATGTCTGGAGGTCCAGAGTATGGAGGACAGGAGGTCCAGAGGTATGGAGGATGGAACGTCTGAAGGACAGGATGCCTGGAGGTACAAGGGACAGGAGGTCCGGAGGTACAGAAGACAGGAGGTCCGGAGGTCTGGAAGGAATAGGGGCTACATTGGACGAAGTCCAATGCAGAAGCAAACAGAGGTAGACTACCCTAAGGTAGAGTCGGAGGGACAGGAAGTGGACCTAAGTCCGGAAAGAAGGTAAGTGCTGGAAAGGCAAGACTCCAGCCTAGGGAAGCAATCCCTAGACTTGGGACAGAGACATAGGGGACAAATCCGAGGGTCCGGAATTCCGGCCTAGGGAATCCTTCCCTAGGCCTTATGGAAAAGGACAAGACTCAGATGGACTGAAGTCTGGAAGAAGATTGGGCAAGTCTAAGGTGATATTCAGACTGAGGACTCTACTAGAGTTGTACAGGGGTTATATACTAGAGGCTATCTGAGAGGATCAGTAAGCAAAGGAGTAAGGCTATGTACGAGCATGTGGAAACACATTGGTAAGTAAGATGGAACATAAGTAAATGAACTCGGAGATGAAACTAGTACAAGGATCAATCAGCAAGACAGAAACAGAGATAACTGAGAACCGGAAAGGGGGAGATGTCTAAATAGGGATAGGCGCAGGATCTCGGACGGAGGGTGGGAATAGGTCTGGAGATAGTAACAGTTAACATCCAGAGGTCCAGAGATCTGGGGATCTGGAAGGCAGGGCAGAAACAGGACTGAGATATGTGAGGTGGTGGATGTAGTCCGGAATCCGAGAGGAGGTAAAGTCCAGATGTCTTGCTGGATGGAATGTACATAGGGTGGATAGGATAGGGGATCCAGGAATGAGTTGGATATGGGGTCCAGAAACAGGTCTGGAAAGCGTGGGAATATGATGGGATCTATGTCTGGCATATGGGATATGACACTTACCCTCTCTCTGGACTTTGGTCCACTTCCTGTCTCTCTGACTCTACCTCATGGTAGTCCACCTATGTTTGTTTTTACATTGGACAAAGTCCAATATAGCCCCTATTCCTTCCAGACCTCCTGTCATCCTTACCTCCAGACCTTCTGTCCTCTGTATCTCCAGATGTCCTATCCTCAGGATGTCCAGACCTTTAGACCTCCTGTCCTCCATACTCCCAGACCTTCAGACATCCTATCCTTCCATCCTATTTCCTCTAGAGGTATTACCTTGGGGTCTCTTCACTTCCTGTGCAGTGAGAACTCCTCTGAGTATTTCCTATACTCCTCTGGAACTCTCCCACACTCCTCCAGATGTTTCCCACACTCCTCTGGAAGTCCTCCTACACTCCACCAGAGTAGCCAGCCTCCAGAAGTCCCTTGGACTTCATCAGACCATCATCAGACTTCATCTGAAATGAAGGGCACATACTTGGGTAAGGGCCACAGTGTATGAGCTGAGGCCAAGCCCCTCTGAGTCAGTCTCTCTCTCTGCTTTGAGCAAACTGGTTCTTAACACCACCATTTTGCATATCTTAGTCCTGTTCACCATCCATGTTCACCACTGCAAGTCAAGCATTGGAAGAATCCTTCTGTGCTTGGGCAAGACTTGCAGGCTCCTTTATTGATGATATTTTCAGACTTGAGGATGATGTCCAAGTATAATTGGCAGAAGATGAGATAATCTTCAATGAAGCTATTCTGAGTCTGTGTTTCAACCTAATAAGCAGCACCTTTTGTCATTTGTTAGATGGACCTGCCTTGGTTTGTCATCTCACATTCTGTGAACTGAAATCCCCATGGAGCTCTCTGTCAAAGTCTTTGGGAATCCCTTCCAGTTCTTGAGGATCAAATTTTGTTCTTTTTTGTGGACTACAGGATTCTGATGACTCTTATTGTGAAATCTCATAGGAGGGATCAGGACAGCCTGTGACCTAGAAGGGTTTCCTCTTTTTTCCTTTGATTTTTTTGTGAGTGACATATACAATATCCAAGTCCTTTCTTTGGGATAGTTAACCCCTTTCTTTGTAAGAGAAAGACTGAGACTTGAGACAATTTTTTCTCTGGTGTGACATGAGAGGTCAAGAAATTGTGAAAAATTATCTCAGTTCACTATGTCACAGCCTAATTACCCAAAGGGACCACTCCAACAGCCTAGATGCCAATGTTTGGCTACCAGACTACTGTTCTACTTTAATTTCACCTCAATCTTTTCTTTGGCTGCTCAACCCTCTGATCCCTTCTCAATAAGTGCAAAAACTCCTTCTGAAGTGGAAATGCAGGCCTGGGAACCCCTACCCTATATTGTACCTTATCTTTCATGAAATGCACAATCACAAATTGTTCTCCTGTGTTTCAGGGACAAACTGAGTGCTTCAAAACCTTCTCATCAAGATCAGCAACTGTTGTAGCAGATTAAATAATAAATTCTCACCTTC